CTAGAGAATACCGCCTAAAGACTACTACACTTGTAACTGCCTCCAATTCCGCCGTGATAGTCTTCGAAAAGATCACTGCTTGTTGATCCTTAATGCTGCTTGAATTTTGCTGTTGATGCTTTGGGTGATGACAATCCTCTTTTCTTTGGAAATAGTTGCCAACACAACTCTTGTATGATGTGTGACAATCCGATTTAGGGAAAGCTGTTAATGCCACGTAACAATCCATCCTTGGAAATGTTGCTACGATGAAGCGACAATCTGTATCTCGGAAAATTTACCAAAATCCAATTTTGGGAAAAGTTGCCAATGCTTCATAACAATCTGTCATAAGAACTTTGCTACGATCGACAATCCACATCTTGGAATATAACTCTTGAAAGCAATCCACCTTGGAAATTTGCCAATGCTATGCGACAATCCTTTTAGGAAAATATTGCCACAATTGACAATTTGTGTCTTGGAACATTTGCCAAACAAGAGTAGATCGACATTCCATTTCGGGAAAATTTGCCACTTGCTGAAATGAATGACAATCTACGTTGAGGAACTTTTGCCGAAATTTATGATGAGTAGAGACCTACAACAATCCTTTGGGAAATTTTGCCATAGGGAATTGGGTGTATGACAATCCAATCTCGGAAAACTTGCCAAAGATCCATGAATGTATGACAATCTGAACTTGGAAAAACTTGCCAAACAAAGGAGCACGACAATCCACGCTTGGAAACTCTGCCAGGGATGACAATCGAATCTTGGAAAAATTGTCATTTGAAGAAGATGCGCGACAATCCATATTCTGGAAATATTGTCAGTTGGAGATGACAATCCAATCTTGGAAAATTTGTCGTATAAGTGATGAGCTTGCTTTTGAACTGATGCCTTGGTGTTTGTAATGAGCCAATGCTTAGGCGCTTAAGCTAAGTGAGATGCTTTTTTTGTCAGGTCAATCACTTACTACGATTGTAATCGAGCCGACTACTAATCATGTCAATTTACTTATAGGGGCTAACTGGCTTGAACCCGAAATTGTTGTATGAGGTCGAAATAACCATTCTGAGAGGCTTTGAGCTCTGTCGATGCTGAAATATCGTTGGTGCTAAGAATTGGCTCTGTCGCCAGATGCTGGGATCTAGCGCCAGGCGCTGAACTTTGTCACCAGACGACAGATGTTGTCGCCAGGCGATAGCCTTGTCATCTGGCGCTAGAGTCGGGTCTTCCCTATTCTGCTCTTACTGCCGCTGTTGCTTGGTTTTGCTCCGAACTTTGAGCTTGGTCGTTTTCTTTCAGCCAAATCCGCTCAAATCTTTTGTAAATTAAAGCTCTTCATCTCTAATATACTGATCTATGTAACTCCTCTTATATTGGAGGAATCTCCTGTGTCATATTCGCGGTTTTTTTCGAAGAAAATCCGGGAATGTCCTCGCTTGCTGGGATACACCTGCATTAATATTTTTGACTATAGGACTTTGCCCTTCTTTCTTTAAGGTTGACCTAAGACTTAGTGTTGACTCAATGTGATAACACGACATGACTCAATGTGTACATGACTCGTGTGTGCATTGTAATGTGATCGTGCGACTCGAAAAATGCAAAAAGGCAAAAATTTTACGTCATTTTTATGAAGGGTACCGACTTTCTCCCGAAAAAGAAAGACACGAAAAAGAATCAAAGTGAAGTTTTTTGAAGATGCATGTTGAATGAGCTTAATCAAATGTTGTCTCTTACAGTACAAGGATTGTAACATCTTAGACTATCCTAGTTGACTCGATAATGAAAGTATTTAGGTAACTTACCGCGCGGAGGCTAAGTACTTCATACTTTGTGATGTAATGATGATTGATTGATAAGTGATATTGATATGACAAGGCATGCTTCAACGTTGTGTTAAGATTTCATGACAAAGGGTTCCTAAGGGAAGTATATTTGGTCATATATCCGTGATGTGTGTGATAGTGACACTAAAGTTAGGCAGCAAGGGTTGAGTGTGTGGAAAATATATTGAAAAGAGTCAAATAATGGTGACTCTTAGGCTGGGTAAGCTAATGATATAAGGATTAAGCCCCTAAGTGTAGCCTTAAGAAAATAGGAATGAGCATAGGGGATCCTTTGATATGATCATGATGTGTGAATGTGAATGTGAATATGAATGTTGTTTATTACGACCGCACCTCGATGTGAGGTTGCCTACGTATTCGTTAGGAATCAAGCCGAACGTAGCTCTAGCCGAACCTCGCACAAGTGTGTGTATACCTCAAAAAGGTCTTTTTAAGGGTTGTAATGTGGTTAGGCTAAAGGTTGAAGAAGAAGGGGATAAAAGGTCAAGACCCTAGATAAGCCCCCCAAGGTGTGCAACCTTGCTTTTGAATCTTTATATTTTTATGCTTGAGGCTTTCTACTCTTTTTCAGCTCTTTTTTTTGCTTTATTTATTTTATTTTTATAAGTGTGGGCAATCCCGATCATGCGGTCTATCACTCATTTGGCATTCATGTTTCTCAGGCACGGTACCGAGCACTAGATAAGAGACGCAATCTGAGATGTGTTCATATCAAAGACATGTTCATGTCAAAGACATTGGAACACTTGCCCTTTTGTACACTTTTTATTATTATTATTATTATTTATTTTTGCTATTTTAATCTTTTTGAAGTCACTCAAGCTTTTTATGAAATTAAAAATTGCATAAGTTGCACACAATCCTATCCCAAATTTAGGTAGATATGGGTTGAAAAATGAAGGGTCTATCGTTAGACGAGGCTTAAAGTGGTTTACCAACAAAGGGTTGCATATTTGAAGGGTGAAAGGTGATATGATGTGGCTACAAGGGATGCCTCAAATCATTGGTATATCTTGTGCTTAGTTTGACATGGATTTTTTTTAATGCAATGCAATGCAATGATCATATGAAAGGAAATAAATGCTCATTTTATTAAAAGGGGAAAAAGAAAGAATCTACAAAATTAATCTAAGGGAAAAGAAAGGTGTCTATGCTAGACTTATTGGGGAAAGGATAAAAATAAAAATAAATATAAAAAAGGTCATGAAATCTTGTCGTTGCAGCTCACCTCTTGTCTTATGTTGTTTGCTTCATCATCACCCAGTCTTCTCGTTAGCTAGAGGCAATGAGATCTTATTTGCTTCTATGAGATCTTGAATGAGATTTTGAAACCTGTAGCATTCATCAGTAGTATGTCCGCTTCCTTAATGGTACTTTCAATAAGAGTTGGGATTCCATCTCGAAGATCGATTTTCTGGCGTTGGATCCTCGGTAGGGCCAATAGGTTTGATTAATCCTCGACCATAGAGACGATCAAAAGTAGCATCATAGGTCATTCCAATGGGTGTGAACTCTCTCCTGGGTTTCCTTTTAAATCCTTGATTGTCCATGGCTAAGACACCATTATGGTCAAAGGTACTAACATTATTACTAGAGTGCGCGTTTTCGGAAGAAGAAGGATTGTCGTTCTTCTTTCCTTTCCAGCCATTGTGGTTACTATTGTTAGTAGCTTTTTGTTTTGCGAGGTCATCTTCGATTTCAATTCCGACGTCATAAACGACCATAAAAGTATTCAAATTGTGTTGATATTTTAAATGCTTTGAATACTTCTCTTGGAGATTCTTGATAAACATCCTCACAGATTCTTTTTCGGTGGGCACCTCAATCATCTTAGCGGAAGTTTTCCTCCACTTATTGAAGAAAGAAGTAAAGCCTTCATTCTCTTTTTGTCTTAGCATCTCGAGTTGTCTATAATCGGTTTCGACTTGAATATTACACTTATATCTATTAATGAAAGCGTTTATAATAGCATCCCAAGTATAGGTTTTTTCTTTATGAAGAGAAAAGAACCATTGTTGACAAACGGTTTCAAGAGATAAAGAAAACAAGGAATGAAAGACTTTCCTATCAATCCCCTTAATGTTCATTATAGTTTTAAAGGCTCTTAAGTGAAGATAAGGATTATCTGTTGCCTTGAATTTAGGGATGTCAGTGGCATTGAACTTCTGTGGAAGAAGCTCCCTGTCCACCAAGACCCCTTGCGAACTGATGCCCTGGAAATTATAGTCATTGGATAGCTTGCTCAAGCTTTCTTGCATAAGATCCATTTGTTGTTGCTTCACAGGATCATTGATTTTGAGGGTTAAAGCCTTCAACACCTCAGTTACGTCAGTCAATTGATTCCTAAGTTCATTGACTTCTTCTTGACTTGCTATTATCTTCTTAGCTTTTCTTTTCCGGCTGACATGTTTATCAAAAAGTTGAACTTGAACAAATGTGTTGTCCTTGATTAATCGCCCTTCTCTCCTTGACCAAGTGCTGTGGAAAGGGAAATTAGGGATATCGTCTGTTAATTATTTGACTCAAACTCTATTCAACAAGCAATAGATGAAAGAAGGTAGGAAGAATGAAGGTTGTGACATGGAGAAAGCATGTAGATAATGGAAAGATGATGTAGATGGAGAGATATGACAAAATTAGGAATAAAATGTACCCTCAACTCAAATGACGGAAAAAACCGACTCATGCATGAACCTAAGACATGGTCATGGTGACATGTATAAGGTGTGCGCTATATATTGTGAGTGCAAGTGACATGTTAAGACTCATGTCATGACCATGTGACTAGACTATGTGACTAGACTCGAACAAAGAATAAGTTAAGACCTCAACTATATGCATTAAACTGGACAGACTGGTATTTTAGTCATAACGTTTGATCTATGACTCTGATTTGGATGAAACCAATGCCAAATTAACACTAAAAGAAAAAGAAGAATTAGAAAATGATTTTTGCGACTACCATAATAAGCCGTCGCAAAAATTATTTTTGCAACTGAAAAAGACGAGTAGTCGTAAATTTTGCAACCAATTTTACATAAGTTGCTATGTGGTCACTAATTAGCAACTGTTTTTTGCTACTACCAAATAATCAGTCACAAAAAAAATTTTGCAACTAAAAAATAAGAGTAGTTGCAAATTTTGCAACCGATTTTTTAGTAGTTGCTAATTGGTCGCTAATCTGCGACACTCTTATAATTTTTTTGCGACTAAATTATAGTTGCTAGGGTTAATTATTTTGAAACCATTTTTAAAAACATTTGTGACTACTATTGCAACTAACATGATAGTCACTACCATTATTTTTAAAATTTATTAATAAAGAAATTAAAAACGTAAATAGTATAATAAATCGTTGCCTAAAAAACACAAGAACTAACTATCACTCCTTAATCCTTATTATTCATAATCGCAGTACATACTCTTCTTCCTTTAAAAAAAAAAAAAACCAAAGGCTTCCATGGCGAATTTCAAAACCAAGTTCAGAACTTCAGAGTGAACTTGTTGCCGTCGTTTTCATCTTCCGCCGCTGCCAGCACATCTCCTCCCATGTTAGTTACGCATTCTTCCCCTTCCTACCGTCCATTCCATCTTTCTCTTAATACAATTTGCCAATTGCAAATTTTAGGGTAATCTTTGAGTTTTTTTGTCCAATTTTTTATTTTATTTTGGTTTCCATTGCGAATTGCTGATCGATTTTAATCTAATTATTGTTTGAAATGCGTATTGATTGAGTTGCGAATTGATTTTAATCTAATTATTGATTAAATTGATTGAATTGCAAAATGATTGAGTTGCGAATTGATCTGACTTTAATCTGGTTTCCATTTGAATTGCGTTGATTGAATTGATTTTAATTTAGCTGCCAATTGCTTAATTTAGGGTTATCATTGAAGTCAATTAATGTGAAACCATTCAAAATTGATTGATTATTTAGTTTGTGTATGCGAGATAGCTACAAAATAGCAACCTAGTATTAATTTGAATCGTGAAAGTCCGTTATTTTCCATATTCATTATTTGTTATGTAAAAATAAAAAGTACATTTACCCCACCATGATCTGCATCAAATTATTAGCTAATGCACAATGAAGTGCTCAATTGGATATATAATAGTAGAATTGACTAAAAAAACTGAAAGCCTCGCTGATGCACAAGTTTTATATTGAGAAATGGACTAAAACAAACATGTCATGTATATGTAATGTAATTATGATTCTTGTTTTCCCATTTCCTAATTAAGGTTAAATGAAACAAATTTGCAATGGTTAGATTTATGACAGTTAAGCTGTGAAAGTATTGTGAGCGGAGTTGAGGTTATCTATGTTTTGGTTGGGGTTTATAAAGTCAATTCCACTAACTGAATAGTAGATTTCCATACTTATTGCAGTCCTTGTGTGTGTTATTGTTAGTAATACATTTGGTGATGGAGTGGTACCAAACATTCGAAAAATGGTTCATTGATGTATATTATTTGCTGTAGAAATGATTCATTGGTTTATAATATAAATGCCTCGTAAATCTGGGTGATCCACACTACAGGGTGATACACACTACAGGGACGGTTGCAAATTCTTGCTAATAGTGGCATAAGACTCATCTCAGCTTTGAGTTTACCTTTCATTCTTGTCTGATCTCTTTGTTTAATTTTTTTTTATTTGTGTGCAAGGGAATTACTTAATAAACTAATTGGCTACAAGAGGGTTGGAATTACAGCACTTTGTGATACAATCTCTCATTCAACTGCTGTGTTGGCTCACAAAGTTTAATTTGGTTGGTTTGATGATTATAGATTCAGGGACGTGGTAAAAGAGTCTATGAGCTTTCTTAGCTAGGTGCTTATTGTTGTAAATATGCTTGTTAATTTCATTTGTAAGGTTGACGCAGTACTCAAGAGCAGGTGTTTAGTAGATAAGTATTGATGCTTCCTTTTAGTTGTTGGCTAAAGCTTGTTCCAGTCAGCTTGCACTTCACATAAATTAGTTCTCACTCTAACATAGTAGCTTCAAGGAAATGCTCTTTTCTGTACGAAAAAACAAAAACAAAAAAATAAAAGAAATGTTCTTCAGAAGAGAAGATGACAAACAGAACACTAACACACACACACACAGCTAAAACTCTTTCTCTTTCTACTACACACACACAGCTAGAACAAGTGGATTTGAGTCCATGATTTGTGATCCATGATATACAATTATAATCTTCTTAAAAATTAAAGCAATCTCAAATTTACTGAAAATGTTTAATAATACTCTCTATATTCTGAATCTTGTTTCAAGTGTTATTGATTGTTCTTATCTATAGTCTTATTAAGGGTTTTTAATTTTATTACTTTGTATGCTGGCAAATAAGTCCTTTTGTGCCTATTTTATGATTTGAAATATTTAGGTACTAGGCTCAGCTGCAGAAAAACTTAATATACCTGGCTGTAATGGCTGATGCTCAACCGCCAGCGGCCAGCGTCATAGGGTTTTATTTTTTATAACAAACTGATTGGATATTGTGCATTGCGATCTTATTATGAATATCTATCAAATAAATGATCTGAACATGTTATAAGTGCTTTGTTTTTGGCTTATTGTCATAGATTTTGGAATGTGATCAGAATATCATTAAATCAAGTATATAAAATTAAGTGTTCTAACTTACTGCATTAGTTGTTGATACTTTGGTATTTTAGGCCCTGAATGTGTACTTATAAGAGGAAGTCTATATTCCTTCCATGCCTCCTAGGCTGCCACCTCTTCATATCTTCCCCTGTCCCCTCTCTTTTCGTGCTTCTTTCTAACATTTGGCACTTGAGAGATTTGGGTGGAAGAAAAAATTGACTGCTGATTTTTAGTAGCCTCTATCGAGTAATGTCTCCGTGTTGTCAAATTTTGACAATTGTGTTTTGTAAATTCTAATGCATATGGTTTCAACTTGGATAATCATGTGCAGCATACATATACTTGAAGACCTGAGTTTGAAGAAAGCCAAAAAATGGCGGCAGAAAGTTTAAAATATGCCAAGGAAATTGCTGAAAATCATGAGATAGAAAAAGCAACACGGAAGAAGAAAAAAATGGCTATGCACAAAACATCGAAGGATATTACAACCCTTGTCCAACATTACTGTCTTACTAAGCCTCCTATGTCTACTCTCACCAGCTCTCGTGATTCAACTAAGTGATTTTTAATTTCTTGGTGATAATTTTGTGAACAGCTAATCTTTAATATTTGGAGGCATATTTGTATATCGTTATTAGTTTTTATTGGAAGTAGCTTCTTTTATATGAGGTGATTTTGAAAAAAATTAGTCATATGGTTGAGAATGTTGTTTTTTAATACATTGATACAAAACTGATGATAATTTTGATTTATTAATATGGTTTGGATATTTGAATAAATTTGACATTTTTTTTTTGTGACAGATATTGGTCCTCGCTAAATTATGGTCTCCAAATATTGATAGTCAGTCGCTAGATTTTTGCGACTGCATATTTGTTTTAGAGAATGAGTGCTTAATTGCAAAATAATTGGTCTCAGTAGTATAATCCGTCGCAAAAAAATTAGTCTTGTAATCGCAAATTCTTCGCAAAATAATTAGTCTCTGTCGTCGCAAAAGTCTAGTCTCGCAGTCGCAAAATTTTGGTCTAGTAGTCGCTAATCCGTCACAAAACATTGGTCTCCGTAGTCGCTAATTCGTCGCAAATATTTTACAATGGACAGTGATTTAGTTGCTAAAATTTTGAAGTTAGTCACTAAATGGTAGTTGCAAAGTCGTTGCAAATCCGTTGCTAAATTTGTGACTGTCCAAAAATTAGTCTCAAAAATAGATTTGCGACGAGGTGTTTAGCGACTAACCAAAATAGTCGCAAATTTGTTGCAAATCCATTTTTGCGACAGATTTGCGACTACTTTGGCCGTCGCTAATTTGCCTTTTTCTTTTAGTGTAAATATAAACCTCGGGGATACAGATCCATAGGTTGTACGACTCGTAGTTCTTCCTAGAACTCCGGATATGACCAAAACAAGTTGACGCTTGTGCAGTATAGGGGAATAAAAATCCGGGTTGACTTAAAGAGACTATGACTCGATTTTAGACATATTTATTAGCTCAAATTAATTAATTAATTAATTAAAAAAGTCCTTTAGTCAATAAGTAGTTTATTAAGAATTATTTACAAACACAAGTCAAACTAAACGGTTAGTTTAGTTACATAATAAGTATGCACAAGTAGTCAAGTAGTCACAACATGATGCAATGAGTTTGCAACCTAACCATGGTTGTAGTTCTCTAAAGTTCGGGATATGGGTTAGTCAAAGAGGGTCAATGGTTAATTGTCCAAATGCACCGCGCGGAAGCCTTACCTTTAAAGGGTTGGCGCGAGTGGATGGGACACCGCGAGTTAAAAACTCTCTTCCATGGTTTGGTGAATTCAACATTCTCGGATGTACCCTTTGTTGCACAGAGCGTTCAATTAGGTAGATGGAGCATGAATTCTCAGAGGGTTATGTCCATATGTAGAACACATATGGCTTTCAGAAAAGTGAGAAAAACTCAATAAGGAAGTAGGATCGAGCAAACAGGTGTGTCGCCTGGCGCTAGAGTCAAATCCTCGGCGACATACTCTGTTTTCTGACGCAATTTCCTACATTCCTCAGCAGCTTTCTGTGCTCGATAAAATTTTCCAGTTTCGCACATAATTTCAATCGTAGTTGTGAAAGATATTCCTCAAATTTCCTACGTGTAAAAATCCTATGTTTTTAACTCATTACGGATGGTCTTTCCAATGAGATCTTTTTTTTATGCATATGACAATAATGTTAATCAAAATTACGCACATGAAATACTTAGAACTCTTCGAGTCTCATCCACTCATTCTAAATCATTTCCAAAATAAATTTTAGGAATTAAAATAGAAATCCTCCCTAGTGGAGTCGCCAAAAAACTGTAGGGAATATTTCAAGCATTATCCCAAACTTGAACCCCAATGTGATTATACACTAAAGTACAGAGTGACGTCCAAAGGGAAGGAAGCTAGAGAAAAAGAGTCGCCAATAAGTTTTAGGAACTTGTAAACCGTTCACGAGGTGAAGGTTACAACCCTTAACGATCCATGAGATCGTCAACTTCAATAGGTCTGGAACCATGACTGGTAGTTCGGGGATGAAGGTACAAATCCAACCTAAAAGAGATTGAACCTGCCCTAATAATAGGCCTCTACTTTATTCTGATCGTATTCATGTGCGCTTTCTGACTAACATGCAATCAATAGGATTACCCCTAAACTTGTTTATCTATGTTGGTTGAATATTAATGCACAAATAAAACTATTATTGGCGATCACTTGAATTATAATCAAATTAACCCTAAACAAGATTATTAATTATCTTTTTAGGCATGATTACAAGTACAAATTGCCTTTAAACATGCATAAAAGGCGTGATCAAGCAATAACAATAATATAATATCAAACAACATAATAATCATCATAATCATAATAATCATATCATACTAATAATAATTATAATTAAAATAATCATGTTAAAGCATAATAATAGCAAGATCCTAGGCATGATACTAACAAGATTAATAACTAACCCTTGCATGTCACTAAACATATAAAAATCAAAACTTTTAACCCTAACATGATACTAACATGAATATTAGGAAAGAAAATAGGAAGTATCACAAAAATCGTAATTGATTTAAGAAACTTATTCTTTACCATAGGCATGATACTAGGAAGCATTCTTTTAACATACTTGATATTAGAAATTACCCTAAACATGATACTAGGAATCAAAATAATAACTTGAACATGATTTCTATATCAACATATCAATTAAACAATTAAAGTACTTACTTGGATGCCTTGTATATCTTTTTAATAACAAAATACACACGTTAGTAACTTCAAGGAAAATAATAAAACAAACAATTAAATTAAATAATTGAAAGTGATATTTTAGACCAAACCCTCAGAAATTAAAATCTTTCACGTCTAGGGCGAAGGCAACTTCGAACTTGGCTAAGTGTTTCTAGATCTTGTGAATGCGGAATTTTGTATGCAAAAACTAGTTTAGAAAAGAGAGAGAGAAAATATCAAGAAAATCTTGAAGAGAGTTGGTGAAAACTAGAGAGTTGATGAGAAGAATTGATAATATTTTATTATTGAAAACGGAGGTTTTATGAGGCTATTTATAGAGAAAATCAGCCAAATGGATAAAAAAAAGAGTCAGAGTTTCGAAGAGAATAAAACAAATTGGCGTCAGACGTCAGACGCCAGACGCCAGGCCTAGCGCCAGACGCTAGTCCTGTCGTCAGAAGCTAGAAAACAGTTTCCACGCGTTTTCTGAATTTGATAAAATTTAGCCGTACAGAAGGGCAAAATCGTATTTTCCTTAAAAACACCTCTTTCATTCTGCTTAAAACTCTAAAAGTCAACTAAAGTCAATTTATCAATGCTAATTAAATTAGGAAAGAAAAGAACCTTCTAGAAGAATCTAGAAGACTATAATCATTCTAATTGCATTAGGAATGATAAATCCATGTTAGGCCCTCCTCTAGATCATTGGGCCGCACATAAATATCAAACCGGGCCCATTTTAGTAATTTGGCCATAACTTCCTCATTATTCATCGGAATTGGTCTTATAATATATCGTTGGAAAGCGCTTTTCGAACCCGACCCAACTACACTACTATTGGACCCTTGCCATGGACCAAACCAATCTGGATTGGTTGTTTTCTTAACATGGGTTTTTAAAAACAGAGAGAAAGAAAAAAATTAAAAACTAACCGCAACACTAGACGTTTCACACTTTTACTTCATTCGATTATGATTCGACGCGAAAGGTACTCATCACTGGGTTTAGTTTTGGGGAGACACAAATGGGTGTCTACAGGGATGATAATCCCATCTTGGAAAAATTATCGTATAAGTGCTTGCTTTCGAACCGATACCTTGCTGCTTGTAATGAGCCAATGCTTTAGGCGCTTAAGCTAAGTGAGACGATCATCGTCAGGTCAATCACTTATTGCGATTGTAATCGAGCCGACTACTAATCATGTCAATTTGCTTATACTCCCTTCGTTTTTAAATACTTGCTCCATTTCTTTTGGACACGCATGTCGATGCTAAATTAACTTTGATCACTAATATCTTTAATTATCAATAAGTATAAATTCTAACAGTTGAAAATTAATAATCTATTCATTGAGATGATTCCAACAAGTATCCACAAGACTATATTTTTTCTTATGTATAAATCACAAACATTAGTCAAAGTAAGACAAATGAATAGTGCAAAAAATAGAAATGGAGCAAGTATTTAAAAATGGAGGGAGTAAGGGCTAACTGGCGTACCAAGGAACCCAATCAATTAATATGACCGTCGTCAGGCCGATCAACAATCAAATATTATTGCAATCAAGCTGACTCTAGTTGATTTGCTAAGTTGTTTGCGTCCTTTTGCTTCAAACCTTTTGTAAAGCTTACCCGTCCATCTGGGACTTAGTGTACTTGCATTTACATTTTGGACTATAGGACTTTGCTCATGTAATTAGGGTTGACCTAAGACTTAGTGTTGTTTAACTCATTGACTTGACAAGACTCAAGGTATAAACTTGACTTAATGATGACTCACTTTGTGTGACTCGTGTGTTCATAGTTTTGAATCATGAAGCTCAATATGTACATGACTCGAAATGCAGAAAAACAAAAATTTTCCGTCATTTTTTTGGAGGGTACCGACTTTCTCCCGAAAAAGAAAAACTCGAAAAAAGAAAGAAGCGAAGTTTTTAAAAGTTCATGTTGAATGAGCTTAATCCGTTAACGTTGTCTCTTACAATACAAGGATTGTAACATCTTAGACTATCCTAGTTGACTCGATAATGAAAGTATTTAGGTAATTTAGGCGCGGAGGCTAAGTACTTCACACTTTATGATGCAATAATGATTGATGTTGATATGACAAGGCATGCTTCAGCATTGTGTTAAGATTTCATGACAAAGGGTTCCTAAAGGTAGGATTATTTGGTCATGTATCTATGATGTGTGTGATAGTGACACTAAAGTTAGACCACAAGGACTAAGTGTGTGGAAAAATATATTGAAAATAGTCCAATGGTGACTCTTAGGCTAGGTAAGCTAATAATGTAAGGATCAAGCCTCCAAGTCTAGCTCTAAATGGAAAGGGATGAGCATTGGAGATCTCTTGATATGATCAATTATGAATGTAAATAGGAACGCATTTTTATTACGGCCGCACCCCTTTGTGAGGTTGCCTACGTATCCGTTAGGAATTAGGCCAAACGTAGCTCTAGCCGAACCTCGCACAAGTATGTGTATACCTCAAAGAGGTCTTTAAAGGGTTGTAACGTGGTTAGGCTAAAGGTTGAGGAAGAAAGGGATAAATGCTCAAG